GTTTGAAACCCCATATCATTTTTAATGTTCTTGCTTTGTTCTGTCTGTATTTTGCTATTGTTCCTTATTTTACTGTTCTCTATAAAATAAAATAAAGTTTTTTAAAAAGAAAGATCTGGGTTTATCTTCTAACTCTTCTCTAATCACCCGTGTACTAGAGCAATGAAGTGAGGGCTGGGGATACAGCTCAGTGGCACAGGCACCTGCCTGGCAAGCACAAGGTCCTGGGTTCGATTCCCGGTACCAAAAGAAAAAAAAGAGAGAGCAATGAGGTGGTCAGGCTGTGACTGGACACTGTCCTCGGCTTCTGAAGCCTGAGATGCTGTCTTCGCAATGGACTTGTCCGTCACATGGGCAGGCTGGTCTGGCAGAGTGGAGAGAGAAGGCAGGGCGCTAGTGTCGGGAACACAAATGGGTGGTGTCCTCTGTACTTTAGGTGAGATTGAGGACATCGTGGAACGTTAGGTGGACATAAGGACTGACACTGGACGGTGCAGCAGAATAATTTCTATTTGCAACCTTACAGCATTAAAGATGCAATAATAAAAATATTGTTGGGCTGCAAAGAGAAAGGCTTTCCTTCTGACCTCACCTGCTTCTCTGAGACAGGGGTTGTGCTCCCCTCTGTGTCAGACGTGGTGAGATAGGAGGGCGGGCAGAAAAGCGGAGCTAAGTCGCATTGCTTCTGCATCAGCCTTGAGGACTCCAAATGCAGCTCCTTCCCTGCTCCAGACGTTCTGTGGAGCTGGAGCTTTTCCTTTCTTTGAGGCCCTCTCACCATCTGAAATGCGATCCCCTCCGTTCCTATTCTCTTTTTCTAGGATATTGTCTTGTAGCAATGCAAGATGCATTTTCAAGCAAAAATTAATTACAATGATACTACCTGCAGTAATTTTGCTTTGTAAGAATGGCGTTCTGTTCACTACTCAGAAACAATTTTCTCTGATGTATGAACCTCCACTGGACATTTTCCTAATTGTATTCAGGCAGGATCACAGAAGCGACAAAGAAAGGAAAAATGACTCCTTTATTTGGAAAGAAGTGATTGAAGCTATTATAGACTAGTGATTAATTAACTAATTAATTAAAGTGGTTATTTAAACGATTGGAGGCAGTGCCTCAAAGAGTAAAATAATCTAAAAATACATTGCAGTGTATTTAGAAAATACGGGCTCTGAAAAGAAAAAGAAAACAATTTCAGAAAATTCAACAACTCTTTGAAGATGTGTTTAACTGAAACATTTTGTCACTGGCATTTTCATTTATAAAGATACCAGACACCTGCACATAAGTGGCAAGAGTACGAGGCAGGCCTGAGCTCTGCTTTTCTGCCTCAGCCTTTCCTCGAAGGTGGCCCTGAGGAATCTCACCTTATCTCTAGGGCTCTGTGTTAGTCACGTTTCAGTTGCTGGAACAAAATACCCCACACCTGCGACTTAACGAGAACAGCTTCATTTGTCTGGAGCTTTCAGAAGCCTCAGTCAGTGGTGGGCGTCTCCAGCACAGCTTCCGTAGTAACATCAGTGCTGGCATAGCTGGTTGCCGTCATGAGGAAGAATCAAACAAGACCACTGTCACTCACCCTGTACTACAATCTAATAAAAATGGATCAAATCACTAGATATCAAGTCAGAAACTTTGAATCACCTGAGAGATAACACAGGGGAAACACATGAAGCCATAGCACAGGCAAGGAGAGCTTGATCAGAACTCCAATTACACAGAAATAACACCAAGAATCAATTGCACCAAATTAAAAAGACTCTGCTCAGCAAAACAAACAATCATCAAAGTGAGAACATAATGTATAGAATGGAAAATGATTGTAGATGCTCTTCTGGCTAGGAATAATATCCAGAATACATAAAAACTAAAAAAAAAAAAAAAAACAGCATCAAATACAAATGACCTGATCAAAAAAGGAAAAAAAAAATGATCTGACTAGATGTTTCTCTAAAGAATAAGCATACATACCCCTTGGGGAAGTACAAATCAAAACAACTTGAGATTCCATCTTAGTCCAGTTAGAATAGCTATCATCAAAAGCACAAAAAACAACAAATGCTAAGAGTGTGAGGGATAAAAGGAACCTTCCCACATTGTTAGTGGTGATGTAAACTGTTAATCCACTGTGGAAATTCTTCACAAAGCTGAAAGCAGAGGTTCCACTTCCTCAGGTGTGCCTCTCCTGGGTATTTTCTCCAAAGAGGAAAAGTCATCCCACTGCAGTGCTTCACACGAGCTCCTGTTCATAGCAGCACAGTTCACTCTGAAAATAGTCCTGTGTGGAGTAACAGACGGAGAAAGAAAGGCTACAGAGAATGAGAGCACATCATGTACAGAGGAGAGGACTTTGGTACCGTAATGTTAAGTGAACAAGCAAAATATTGCATTGTTCTTTATAGACGAAATTCAAACAATAAAGTATTTAAATAATAAAGGAGAGACAGTCAGAAGCAGGAATGCCAGCATCAGCAAAAGTGGAAAGGAGTCAGGAGATGTAGGAGAATGGGACATAAAGGGTTAGAAAACAATCAAGAAACCATACCTACTTCTTCTGCCTCTATTCTATCCCTCTATATCTATCGTGTATCTATCTATCTATCATCCATCTGTGTATCTGTCTATCTATCTATTTATCTATCTATTTATCCATCATCTGTTCCATTTCCCCAAAGGAACATGACTATTATGTCTCACAAACATGCGCTAATAAAACAACAAAACACACCCTTCCATCCCACACCCCAAGACTGCCTTTTCCATCCACGCCCCGCCTCTGAACAGCAAGCCAGCCATGGATTCAGGAGTGGATTAATCCACTGATGACAACAGTACCCATGTGATCCAATCACCTTCCAAAAGCCCTACTTCTGACAGGCTTTTCAGAAAAGTTTCACCTCTCACCTGTAACAGACTTTATGGAAAATAGTTTCATAACCAGTAAAGTTACCTCCACTCAAAATCAGGAGTCACAAACAACAACTAACAAAGGAACACTGTGAAAATTTGGTCTTAATGCAGATGTTCACAAGCTCAAGGATACAGGAATAAGAAAGTGTTCTGATAGAATGCTCCTTTTAGCCAGGGAATGATGGAGTCAGTTACTGAATCATAGGACATATTTTAAAAACTACCAACAAAAGATTGCCCTCCTCACCTCCTTCCCTATCCCTCTATCCTCTTACTGATATTTTGCATTATCCTGGTGATTAAGTCCAAGGCTTGGTGATCACCAGGGTCTACCATAGTAACAGGCACAATGCTAATCTTTGTGAGGAGATAATGCAAGAGTTCACAGTGCTATAGTTAAACACATGAAGGCAAAGTTTTGTAGAAAGAGCAAGATAGTTCCTTATTCTTTCCCTTTCTCCTCATTTCTCTTTCTAAACCCAGTGTTTTATAAAAAGGTGTCATGGAGAAAATATACTTTCTGTAGAAGCAGCTTGTGTGGGCATTGGAAGGAATTTAACTCTCTTTGTTAGCAAAATCTCTTCGAGAATGAAATTGACCTGCATTGTGCTATTGTGTGGTAGTTGCAGTACAGCCCAATCTAATAGCTCCAGACAGAAATATCTTGGAGTATTAACACTCATAAACAATAGTGCTACTTGCATAGATTCCAAATTTTCATTCTTTAAAGGAGTTTCATTCTTTCAAAGGATGCTGTTTTCCTGGTTTCTTAGCATAGCTCTCTCCTCATGACAATCTTAATTCTGCACAAAATGTTCCAGAAATAATAAATAATATCAATATTAATAAAACTTTAATAATTTTTATTTTATGAAATAAAGCTAAAGGCAGAATAAAGACTCTGTCAAAGAAACAAAAAGCCAATTACAGAGTCTTCTTTCATTGTCATTTAAATCAGCAAAAACTATATGTCAATAAGTAAAAACTTCACCCAACATGTTTCTTTAAGAAATTTGCCACCTAATTATTATGATGTTTCCTCTTCTATTTTACACAAAATAGATAAGATATTTTACAAAAAGCAACAACAAAGAACGGATGTACTACAGTAGTGCAAGTTGTACACATTAGGAAACAGAATTTTCAATTTTACCGAAGCAGAGAGCTGCACTTAATCTCCCCAAAGCAAAGAGACTCAGGGTGCGTGTTACCTGGCAACCCCGTATCTATCACTTTCAGAACTAGAGTGGTTCCGGAATCTGCACATCACTTAGGTTGATGCTATCTGCTAACGCTGCTGCTTCTCCCCTTATCTCATGTTGCGCACAAACGATTTTCTGCTCCTTTCAAGGTCTTTGTGAGTGAACATGAACTTCCGCCTACAGTGACGGGAGGCACTGACACTCTACCTTCTTTGGAAGCATTGAGAAGCCAAGAGTTATTCTTTTTTAAAGGTGTTAAATTTCAAAGAAATGAAGATGTTTGTGTAATAAAAGAAGCAAAGGAGCAATTTGGAACTTATTACATCAATGGAAACTTAAAATAGAAAAATTTCAGAATAACTTCGAATTCACCTGATGCTCATGACAGGAGTTGCTGTAGGGTCGATTTGAAGATGATGGAGAACTAGAGTCACACAGGGTAGAATCTGAGAATGACAGTCCCCTGGTTATTCAGGACCCCCTTACACCACACTGGGGATGGTCTGACTTCCAAATATGTGCGGTTATCTGGAAATTAATCTCCTAAGTGATTCATTCCATTTCAGAAAGTCCTATAAATTTTAAAGCTCCTTTTTGTATTAATAGAGAGAGAGAGAGAGAGAGAGAGAGAGAGGGAGAGAGAGAGAGAGAATCAGAGAGAGAGAGAGAGGGAGAGGGAGACAGACTGAGAGGAATGATGTTATTTCTCACACCCTCCAACCTGTTTCACCAGAGCAGCTATGTATTTAGCTCTTCTCATTGTTGGACTCCCACAAGATTTCAATTTTATTAAAAATATTAGAAATCAATGTTTTATATGGCAACCTTGACATTCTCAAATTTGATAGAGATTTAATTCTGTGAAATATCGGTGGTGATTTTCCTTGCAATAAGAAGGGCAGCCACTTGAACATGTTGAAATCATTATGTGTGGACTGCATGCACCTCACTTAGAAATAGCATCTCAATACGAGGGGCTGGTGGGCACACTAGATCTCCCTCACCCTCCTTCCAAATATTGCTAGAGCCCCCCAGAGCTCCCCCATTTTCATCTAGAACTCATTCTGTTCAGGGTGTAGAGTGCTCACGATTGTGTGCTGCGCAGCTGAAGTCCAGCTTTCGCTCTTGTAAGCCAGGCGATTTCCTACAGTGAGCACCAGCGAAGATGTCATCACCCTGCCCCGTGTGGAAGCCACAGTACCCAGAGCTGTGTCAGGGGCCATGTCCACCCAGGCCCGGCAGCACAGAGCAGGGATCTCCCCGAGGGCAGACACCTGACAACCTGCTCGTTTTTCTTACTCTGTAGATGTCCATGCTGGGTCTCCAGCACAGCATTTTGATGAACCCCTGTACTCTTTAATAAATTCTCCTTGTATTCAGGACAGCTACAGTGGGTCCATGGCTTACACTTGTGTCCTGAAAGACACGTTCATCAGGTTAACATTTGAGCAGAAAACTGAGTTAAGCGCATTTAAATTAAGAGGAGAAGTAAAGGAAGGGCGTCCATGGTGCTTTAATTAACAAAGCTTCCCATACTCACAGCATAATGTCTCAGTATTATTAGTAGTGCAGTCACAATCTCTTAGGATGAACTTTCCTCTGTGTCATAAATATGTATAGATTAAGTTCAGAATAACAAAATATCCTTAGGGTAGGTATACTGCAGTTATTTAGCATCTTTAACATATGAAAATTAACAATATTGTAGAATTATTGGAAAAAGAATAGTTTTATAAATATGTCAGTTACTATCGGTGACTAAATGTTAAGAGGTATTATTGTCTTTCAGTATCAGAGAAGGCATGAAAAAATTATCAAAAGAGTTAAAAGAAAAAGAACCACCTGAGGTAAATCGAAGTTACTTTTGTTTTTAGATTAAGGCTGGGGAGGGCTAGGGTTATTTGTACTTTCTGGAAATGCATGCCTGGAAGGCTGGGCGGAACTGTGTGCCTCATCTTCTCGAGTGGGACTTGGAGTCCCAATGCTAGCTCAGCACTGTCTCCAAGGCCAGCTGCCCACCCGTGACCCCTTTGCAGGCCACCAGGCCCAGGCAGGGACCAAGCAAGTGGAGGGGTAGTGTCCACTTAAGCTGCATAGGACTAAGACTTATCGTTTGTTTTACATATCAGCAGAATTTCTACTGAATGCTTAATGCAGTTTGAGTCCACTTAAGAAGCAGGATAAACTGTGGCTCATTTTCCATGATTTTGATGAAGATGATCATGATGTATTCTGACTACAAATTCTTCCTCACAAGGAAACCCTGTAGCACCAGTAGCTAAACTAACAGAGTGATTTCTGTAGAGTAGATAGAGATCTGCAGCATGATCCATAGTTGGACACGCATCCGTGGTTACACACATGCGTGGTCACACACATCCACACAGGCCAGGCGCACACGCACATAACTGAAAATCTGAGAGTTCCATATCAAGGTTGTACTTCATTTTCACAAAGCCAGAGAACAGGCCCTCAGCTACCGCAGTCTTTTTTCAAAAGTTTTCACTAATTGTGAGTGTTTGCACTGTTCGGACGTTTGCAGCATAAATATTAGTTACTCTGATTATAGTCATGGTCACGGGTCTGTGAGGCATGGCTGCTTATTATATAGAAAATTTATTATAGCTTCTGCTTAAAAATGAAGATGGACAACTGAAATAAACAAATACTTCTCAGAAGCACTAGTACAAATGGCCAACAAAAAAATTTTCAGCATCACTGGCCATTACAGAAATGCAAATTAAAACAACACTGAGATTCCATCTCACCCCAGAAGGAAAGGGTATCATCAAAAAATCAATTAATAACACATGGTGCAGAGATAGCAGTGGGGTACTCTTCTTCATTGTTTGCAAACTGGTAGAACCACTACGGAAATCAGTATGGAGATTCCTAAAACGTAATATTAGAAACTCCATTTGGCCCAGCTCTTCCCCGCTTAGTTAAAGTCATCGTATTACCATGCTCAGCCATGTGTAGAGCAGCACAGCTCAGAACAGCTCAATCTCAGAAGCAGCCCGGATGTCCATCAGGATGAATGGGTAAGGAAAGCATGGCGTCTGCACACAATGCGCCACTACTCTGCCGTAGAGAAGGGCAAACTTGAGTGTTTTGCAGGAAAACGGATGCACCTTGAGACCAGAATGTTACCTGAAGTAAATCAGACACAGGAGCTTAAATATCACATGGTTTCTCCTGTACAATAATCCCAAAGTATGAATAAAAAGCAAAGTAAAAGGTAGACAACGGGAGTCAGGCATTGGAGAGAGGATCAAGAGAGGGAGGAAGTGAGAAGGAAGGCAGTGTAAGAGAAGTAGGACAAGCTACCTCCGCGTGCAGTTCCCCACGAGGAAGGTTTTCATTACGTACCAGAGACATGTGAAAGGAAGATTTTAGAACAATGCAAATTCTGAGCTCCGGTGTCCACTTTTCCTAAGAGAGTTTAGCTGAGGATCGTCAGCCTGCACTACTACACCTTTCACCACAGCACTGGGAGGGAGTCTTCCCCAAATCAGGGCTCGCAATATAAGGATAGAAAAACTCACCTCGGATACCCTGAAATAAGGGAAATGTGTGGGTGCAAACAACTAATAAAGCTAGAAGGAGGGCAGGCACCCCCAGAATCTCCCCTGCATTCTCTGGGTTCCACTTCTTCCTGGACCCAGCCTGGCCCAGGCACAATGGGCTCAGAGCTTCTGCCGGGCCTGGTAGTGGCCTCCGGTCACCTCTTCGCTTTGCTGGCCCAGGAGCCTTCCCTGGATGAAGGCATTTGGGGTCCTCAGTGAAGCCCTGGGCTCCAGAGGAGGATGAGTAGCACAGTTCTGGGAACCCTGGCCGGCAGGTCACAACAACGCCCGCCCAGGACAGTAGAGACCACAGGACTCTACAGCCAGAAAGCCATAGCCAGATCCAGACAGACTCGCGTGACCCCAAGCTCCCTTTCTGCTTTCTGACCTGTTGGTGGACTTTCCTGGGTTGCATCTCCTTTGTGGAGTCTCCAGTATGGGTACAACGAGGTTCCAGATACAAGTCTGAAAAATATACAATGAGAAATTACTTATATTTTAAATACATCAGTATCTTACAATATGAATCCATTTTATTTTTACAAATTAGGTGTCATTTAAAACATCCTGTTACAACTGAATAGCTGATGGCACAGTAATGTTAACACCAGATTTTATTTTGTAAATTTAGATTTTAAGTTCTATGATGGTGTCTCAGTGTGCTGCCCAGACTCATCTCCAGGGCCTGGCTGCTGGACTCAAGGGATTCTCCTGCTTCAGGCTCCCAATAGCTGAACAGTAGGCACAAGTCAGTGTCTGGCTCCAACTGAAAATTTTAAAAAGAGCAATATTAAATTATAAATTATTTTTCTGTGGAGATACAGGGTGAGACAAGCATGCCAGTATAATTTCCTGTATTTTATGTAACTTTAGAACTTACGCGCATTCCTTTGCAAAACTATTCCGGCAAATGAAATGTGCCTGAAATAATACAGAGAATGAAGTAGAGAAATTATTCTGCACCTCTTTTTAATGTTTATGTAGGAGTGTAACACCACTCGCCACTCAGTGTACATGATATGTGGCATTGCCATCACTGACAAATACGCAGTTAAAGCTTTCTGTAGCAGCCACACAAAGAGAAGGGAGTGTGAATACCTTCTAGTGGTGATTTAGTGTCCTGACAGCGGAAATGAATTTGGAGGAAGGGAACATTTTATGTTAAATGAAGCCTTTATTAACACTACTTGATCTAACGCACACTTTTCTTTTTTTTTTTTTTGGTACCAGGAATCAAACACATGACCTCAGGCTTGCCAGGCAAGTGATTACGTCACTGAGCTACATCCCTGGCCCAACACACGTTTTTCTGTGCAAAACCTTTTGTGCAGAATATTTGAAATTGTCCATTGCAGGCTCCTATTTTCACTGTTTCGTTTTGGTGTGCCTTTTTCTAATTACAAGAGAGATCCAAGGGGGCTCGGCCTTCTGAGG